GAAAACATAAAGACGCAGCAGCGCGATATAAAATGAGAAAAAAAGCGAACGCTTCACAGAATACACACATATTAGCTTAGGATGAAGGAAAATCGCATTATTATTATTTCTTCCCCGACATACATAGTAATAGTAATATTTTCCAAGAATAGTCACACACACACAACCGAGGCCAAAGAAGAGAAAATGAAAACGCCGACAATGATAAATAAAAGTTTATTTCATTTGTTTTATGAGAGTAATTTACACCGAGGAAAAATGGTGCTAAATTCACACAATCATATTTATAATGCATGTATTACGTCACCAAAAGTGTTATTAGAATAATAATATCAAAAAAATTCGTTGGCAATTTCGCTACCCTTTTGTATGAACATGGAGAAGAAATCAAATTGTATCATATCATTATTATTACTACCGCCATTCCAATATAATCCCATTTTTGGCACTTTGACATCGACGTGGCTCTCTGGTTGATCGAAATAATTTTATGTGTTTGGCGATTTTTATCTAATCTTTGGTCGCATGCAAACATTATTAATGGTTCAACACTATCTGACTGCCCCCCACCGAAACATTCACATGCCTTGATTAGCATCCAATGAATTTCGGTCTATTCTCAAAATCCCAATCTCATTTATTTCGCATGACATTTTTGATACTTGATTTCATTTGTCATTTCGAATTTTATTATTGGCTATTTCATATGGTTTTACCCATCTGCTGCAATAAAAATCTGCCGCTATATCGTTCGTCTCAAACGTAATTGTCTTTTATCTTATTTTTGTTAAGCTAATTTTCTTCTCCCTTTTTCGTTCACTCTTTTTTCAACGACATCGAGATAGGGAGAAGTAAAGAAAGAAAGAGAGAAAGAGAGTGTCATCAGAGACCAATTTGAATAGATATGACTATCAAACTAAAACGAAAAACAACCTTTTGTTTTCTGATTCGTTTCTATTTTACGCTGGCATTTCTTTTCTGTAGAGGTAACAACTGAAAAATGCGCAAAACTTGAAAGTAGACTAGAAACATAAAAATAAATCACGCATTTTATTCAAGAACATTTGTTTTGAATCAATTCCCACGGCGCTAATAAAATTTTGATGAAATTTTTTTTTCACTTCAAAATAACCGAAAAAAATTCGTATTCATCTATGATTTGACACATATTTATTACAATAGTGTATAAGACTATACCCTCTAGTCATTTTCGATTAGGTTGCAGCAAAACGAATTTGGCCATCTGTCAGTCTCAATGTCGTTTAAATAGAAGATGATTAGCAAACTTGTGCAGTAGTTTAATAAAACAGACAACTCAGCTCCTCCCACGAATTATATTGACGTCATCACCCATCATATTATAATGATGGTTTTACTTGTTATTTAACAAGGTATACTTTGGAACGAAAAAAAAAACGAATCTTTCTATGCAAAAGTTGTATAGTAAGCAAAAAATGAGAAAAACATATGCTTTTTACGAGTTTTTTCCAGAAATTATATTGAGTTGTTTTCAGCCAGGGGGGTTTTCCGGTTTGACCCCCTGAGGCAAATTTTTCAAAATTTACCCCCGGGTAAAATTTTAGGAGATTTACCGGGTTGACCTTCTTTGAGAATTTTTTCTCAGATTTGTAATATAAATATACATAGCAAAAATACACTGATTTTGAAGTGAAACTTGCAAAATTTCGGATCGCTTCGCTCGCCTACACGCATTTTTACTTGTTTCTTTCATGCAAAATTGTTATTTTAGTTTTTTCATATAAATAACCCTCCCCCTCGATACCAAAGTCAATTTGACCCCCTTGATCAAAAAACTGTGCAGGCGTTGTGCTTATTTTCTTTGCTTCACTTGGATTTGATTTCTATATTATCTTATTCGACTGTTTGGAATCAGCATTCTTACCAAAAAAGCATTTTCATCGAAAGCCGAAAGTATTCCACATAAAAAAGTCTTGAATCGATGCCATCTCAAGCTGTGCTTATAATGACCATTTAGAAGCACAATCAAAGGTCTGAATTGAAATTATCAAAAGTAAATCGAGAGTGAAAGAAAGCAAAAGAAAAAAATACGACACTCACATGTGATACGATCCGATTGCCTCAAACTTAAAGCGATTATTGTGCCGAATTGACGTGAGTGTTCGGTTCACAGCGAACGACCTTGAACAAGGCTTCAAAGGCATCTTTTATATACTATATGTATCGAAGAGGATTTAACCGCAAAAAAACGACTGTTGTGATTCACAAAAACCGATATGAGCTCTCGAAATTGGAAATGTGGCGAACGCAATGAAGGACGAATCTGGCTTATTTAGAAAGCAGCATCAACAACACAATATCCGAAAACATTTAATAGGATTTTCGTATTTAATTGTTTTTGTATTTATCGATGTTCGCGCCTGATATTTTTTTTCTTCTTCGACTGCAATATTATCTTACTTACAACATACGCATTGCGTCTGCTTTTGCACGATGTGATTGACGACGAGTATGTGCTTTCTATTTGTATATCTCGTTCAATTGGAATACAAAAGTTTTACGGATTGATCAGACACGATTCCATCTTATTTTGTCGAATAAGTTGGGATTTACGGATGCTTTCAAGCGAATGGCAATTTCGCTACTTTAAGTATTGCCAAAGTAGGATTTATCAACGGAAAAAAAGAAGAAAACAAACAAACTATGCACAGATCAAATTAACAATAATACAAATGAATGAAAGAAATTGACGGCAACAACGCTTGCTTAGGTGAAACATTATATTTACAAATTGAAATACATATAAAAGAAAACTCCATTAACGAAGTTTCTTTCGTTTGACAGTTTAATAATTTTGTGAATGTCGATTATTTAATATGCAATGTTGCAACTTTCGTGGATTATTATTTACCATTAGCCAGCTATTGATTAGATTGAAACATTCGTTCAGATATAAATGAAGTTTATTTTTACCATTAGCTAAATGACACAGTCATCATATACGGCGCAAATACTTTTCAATTTGTCTGCTTTTTGGATTACAAATCCGATCGATAAGCAACATCCTTTGAATCATCATATGTATTGGGCCAATTAAATTCGCTCTCTTTTCGCTGTATTCCTCTCTCTTTTTCTCTTGTTTTTTGGTTTTTGCGCAACGAATTTCCAACTATTGAGTACTTCTGTTGGATTTGAGCGAATGTTTCGTTGGCCCTTATTAATTTTTATGTGGCGTACTTATAACTTAAAGCCATTAATTGAGGTTTGGATAAACTTATTTTCGAAATAAACTAACGCCGACACAGTGCAAAATTCGAATCGTTAAATAGAAATTTCAAGCTGAACGCGGATGTTGAAAATGTGTTTATAAAATGAAATTAAATGCCGCGCAAAAGAACCACGGAAATGAGCAAAGTTTTTCCAGTTTTAAAACACACTAAAATCTTAATCACCGGACGCAAATTAATTGAGAATCGTAAATCTGACTTAATCCAAAACTTAAAGCCGCATCTTACTGCGTGCTCACTTGTCGAATTATTGACTGAAGTGCTGTCCGAATGAAATTCGAAAAGGTGCATTAATTCGAATAAATTATTTTAATTCAAATAAATCACTAAATTAGAAAAATTCACTTCAGGCGCAATCAACATTCATCTTGGTGAGATAAATCAAGCTGAATTTCCATCCCAGTTTAATATACATGTATACAGCAGAACTTCTTGCAAGTGCAAACCCCACTTTTATTACACATCGACTTAATTATTTATAATATTTTGGTTTAATAAAACGAATGTATTGCACTCGCATCAACATTTCGTAATGTAAATAGATCTGAAGGATGTAACAAGAAGTAGGGAACAAACATCAAGTTGTCCTTACAGTCTAATATAGAATGTTACTACTTGTTAATACACAAGTAGTCAATAGCTTAATTTCCAAAGGCGGCTCTTCCTACTTCTTTTCTCATTTTTTCTTTGTGCAATTCCAATACTTTCTCCGTATGAAAGGCACATATGATACGATTGAAGTGGGACATTTCAGTAGCACAATGTTAAATGGTAACGATAAACACCTACACCAACATACCATCCATATCTTATTTTCTGCATACATTTATAAAATATGGCATTTATAAAATTACCTCCTGCATCATATATCAAAAATGCATGTAAATCTCTTTGCATCTGTACCGCAACCGTGTATCTATTGCTTAAAGTCTTTATTCACCGTGAAAAATGTGCGTCGTTTAAAGAATGTGCAATCAAAACTGATGGCATTTCACATCCTACTGCAGAGAGAACAGTAAAAAAAGAGACGAATAATAATAATAATGGACGAATCAGCATCGCTGCGATCGATATGAGATACTAGGCAAATGAATCAACTTCTTCGAGCACACTTCTATTCGCAAACATTTAATGAAATAGTAAAATATGAATGTGAATAAATCTCAATTTATTGTTGGAGTCGGTTGTTACTAGCGACGTCACATTCGTTGCACTCGGTATTTATTCGCGGTCATTATTCAAACGACGGAATCGTCGACATTCAAACATTTTGGTTCCCGTTTCGTAAACATTTTTCCCGATTCACATTCGATGCAATTGTTACTTAGTTTATTGCATTTGCGCCGCTGGCAATCCACAATACAGATTATTTCATCTGAAATGCATTGCATTTGGTTGTTCTGATCTACCAAATAATCGTCCCCCTTTCTCGCTTATCTACACACGCATTGACAAATCTATGGATTATTCATGAAGTATTACGCAAAAAAAATTTCAGCACATACCATTTTTTATATACAGCATTAGATTTATTGCGAACAAATCTATGCGATCACATTGCACACGACCAATATTATTATTAACAACATAAATTAGCTATAAATTAAAATGCCAGTTAATCGAATACAGCCGATTTTTTAGAAGCGTGAAAGAAAAAAACATAGTTCGTTTGCTTCACAAATCAAAGTAGCACACGGAAAAAATGTCATAAATATTTTATTCGAGTACAAAAATTTGTTTGTGACGCACACAAAAAGGAGATAGAGAAGAAAAATTGCGAGTTTTAATTAAATAGATTTATTACGGCATGGACATTGCAAAACAAACAAAATTACATAGTAACAATATCATCAATAATTGCATGATAAGCACATGCGAATTGAACGAGCTACGAAAATCGAACATTTATTGTGATGCAAACATTTTGCTAGACGACGGCGGTTCTATTCCCATTCATCGCATTATATTATCTAATGCCACCGAATTCTTTTAGTGAGTTTAGCACAAATTAGGGAATAGAACCCTATTATGGCAAAGATTATGACAGCCAACAATTCCAATAAACATTCGAACAGAAGACAAATTTATAATTTATCGAAAAAAAATCCAAAATTTTTCATGCATTTTGCCATTTTCTATTTTTAGCAAATTATTCATGTCACCCTTGAATGCAGAACAACAGCGCAATTACCACATCAGACACATTCGAACACATATAATGGAAACTGTAATTGATTTTGCGTACACGCTAGACTGTGACATTAACGAAACAAATTTGTGGGAATTATTGACGACAGCTGATTATTTTTGTTATTCGTTGTTAATTGATCGATGTACTGAATTCATTAGAAGTATTTTGAATTTGGAGAATGCGATACATTTATTGTTAATGACGAGGTGAATTTTTAATTATTTCAAGTTGAACTGCAATTTCCGTTTATTGATTTACAAATGTTTTCCGTTTGTAGAAAGTGGTTGTACAAACACGAAATCGAGCGTTCAATTCGTGAATACATTTTGCGTAATTTCATCGAAATTTTCCAATCAAATGACGTGGTTTTGAATCTATCCGTCGAAGACCTTGTGGACATACTCAAAGACGATGCACTAAATACAAAAACTGAGGAACCAATTTGGGAGCTATGCCTGCGGTGGATTGAATTTGATGAAAAAAATCGCCCACAATATGTGCCGCAATTATTAGCATGTATTCGACTTGGACTAATGAACAAAGCTGTAAGACGTCATTATATCTACATTTTCGTTTGTGAAATTTTTCATTTCCAATCATCAATTTTACAGTACTTTGAGCAGCGGGTGTTGAATAACAAATACGTGCGATTATGTCCAGAGGCAGAACCAATTATACACACGGCATACAGATTCGTGTCGGATATGGATCAGGTAGATTGGCACCGTATACGTGATAATGATTTATCAATGCTTGTGCCCCGACTACCAAACGATTTACTATTTGCACTGGGCATGTATAACATCAAACACTTCTTTTTTTTGAACACTACTAATAGTCGTCATTACAGGCGGTTGGTTCAATGGAACTGCTTGCGATTTATTTGAAACATATGACATTAGAGCGGATCGTTGGCTGGAATTCTATTATAAAGACCCATTAGGACCGCGCGCATATCTTAGCACGGTACGACAAGTTAAGACTTTTTTGAATGAGATTTTATTCATTTTAATTCTTATATTTATTTAGTCCGTTATTGGTTATAACATCTATTGCATTGGGGGCTTTAGCGGCAATGTATACCATAACAGATGCAGCGTATTTAATCTGGAGACAAAAGATTGGACAGAAGTTAATGAATTTATATGAACTTTTTGAAATGATTTTAATTTTTTCTTCTGCATTTAAAGATTGCGCCAATGCACTATCGAAGGTGTTATGTCAGTGTGTGTACTTTAAATGGAAAAGTTTATGCAATGGGTGGTCATGATGGGCATAATCGTCTTACCACAACTGAGGTTTATTGTCCGGAAACGAATCAGTGGACACTGTTGTCGAACATGGAAAAGCGTAGATCAGACGCTGATGCATGTGAACTTGATGGCAAAATTTATATTATTGGTTTGTATTGGACATAATTGTCAATTTGCTGACACTTTGAAATCTTTTTTAAAATTTGCAGGTGGTTTCGATGGCATCGGATGCCTAAACTGTTGCGAAGTATACAATCCTGAAACAAATGAGTGGTCAAATCTTCCCGAGATGACAAGCGCGCGATCGGGCCTAAAATGCGTAGCATACAAAGGAAAGATCTTTGCAATTGGCGGATATAACGGTATAACTCGCATGAGTTCATGCGAAGCATATGATCCGAACATATTTTATTGGTCGCCCATATCCGATATGCTTTGTCCGCGTAGTAATTTCGGCATCGAAGTGATTGATGATGCAATTTATGTAGTCGGAGGTTTTGACGGCCTTACAACCATTAACAAAGTTGAATATTACAGAGACGAAAATAAAATATGGTATACAATGACAAATTGATAGAGAATTGAATTTAAAATTAATATTGAAACATTTCGTTTAGGGTATCGGCGGTAGGATTGAATCACAATCGATCAGCTCATGCACTCGCAAAAGTCACTAATTGTTCCAATATCGAAGATTTTGTTTTTGATTCACGAGCAGTTTCAAGCTTACCGCAACAAGATTCTTAGCAGAGAAAAAAACCTACCACAAATGTGCATTCAACGGAATTTAAGATTTCATTTGAAAATATTTTTGTTTTATTACAAATGTTTGACTAAAGACAAAATAATGTAAATGTTCGTGTATTTTTGGAAATCAAATGCTGTAAACAATTAAAAAACTGAAAATGAGCCATCATGGCAAATGCATTTCGGAATTTAAATGAGAAAATTATCTGACTGCGTGCAATGTTTTAAATTAGTGAGTGAAAAAAAAACTGCACAGATTTTTATCCTTTTCATGGTAAAATGTCCTTTCCAATTTTCATGATTTTTAATTATGTCTTTGAGGCAATTCCACTTTGATCGCGAAAGAGAATGGAACAACAGAGAGATCACTTGCAAAAGATGTCGACAGTTCTGCAAAATAAACAAAAAAAAATTCAAAAAGTCTTTCATGCGGACAAGCAGACATTTCTCTACTATAGTTGTTGGTTTTTTCTTCTTCTCTCTCACTTAGATATTTAACTGATTATTGTTATTACGGTTGTGTTGGTTTTAAAGTTGAAACGTGCCACTGATGTGCGGCGATATGCACATTGAAAGCTGAAGAAAATGTAAGACGAACTCCGCCCATTGACGATTTGCCGACCACAAAACAGGTGTTTTCTTCATTTACAGCACTGTGTTCGGGTGCGTCATTTTATCACTCTTTTTTTTAAATTCTGTTTTGTTGTAAAACAAAAGAGGCAAACGAAGAGAGGCGAATAAGAGTATCTTTGAAAAAAAGGGAACCACTCGAAACGACAAAATTTTTTAATTAACAGAAATATACATTTCGGCTGCCGGTGCTTGCTGCCGTTGAGGAGTGTGTTTGTTTTGTGTGCCGTTTGTGGTTGGCGAGTACAAGAAGCACATTCACAATATGAAATGTAAATATTATTAAAGAATAAAAATGAACGAGAATATCAACAATACAGGAATAAAAAAAGCAGCAACAACAACCGAAGACTTGCCAAAGACAATGTAAGAAAGCGAATTGAAATGAAGAGAACTGAAGAAATTTCATGAAATGGGAATAACACGCAGTGTTGAACACAATTAGGCCAATGAGTGTTGTGTACGTTTGGATGGATGCGTAGCAACTGTTCACCGTGTATTTTTGTTAATAGAAAACTCTCTCATTTGTTCTTATGTGTGTTTGTCATTTGCCTCCGGAGATGAATTCATTTATTATGTTAATAACAATAAATTGTAATGATTCTCTCAAAAGTCTTGAACGTTTTGTTTTTTTGCGTACTGGATTTTTTTGTGCCCCGTTTTGTGAAGCGACCGTAAGAGAAGCGAAAGAAAATGGCACAAACTGTGCATGAATTAAAATGAATGATGATTCCACTGGTGTATTATAAACAGTATATTAAATTGAAATACGATGCAAATATGTTTTGTCCGTGTTTATCTCAGTTTCATATGCATGCGTGTGTATACAGTGTTTAAAGCATAAATTTCATGTTTGAAATCCTCGATAGCATCGGATCTTGCTTTCGAATATGCATACATTTTTTGTCGTTTTTTGTTTCTCGTTCAAATTCTTGCCATGGTATTTTGGATGGTCTTGCTTTGCCATTGGCGCTTATTGTTGACATTGGGTGTATGAGTTTATTTCTAGTCCAAACATTTTCTATATTTCATTGAAATGACCAGTAGCTAGGCTTGTACATTATTCTCCATTATCTCAACTCTGGGAATAGTAATGGGCATATAAAAGTTTCGTGTGTTGTATTTTCACAAATTACATATTAATTAAGCATTGTGCATGAATTTTGATGAAGTAAGAGGTAAACCCACCCGCTTACGTGGCACTTCCAATTCAATGCGTTCTCAAATGGTTGAGCGTATTTGATTCTTTATCATTTTCAAATGTAATATGAATATTTCACCGTTCACAACGGTTGAATGGGAAAGAATAAAACACGAATCGCGTACAAAGATTCGAACATTTGATAAATTAAACTTATGTACGTTGAAATTATAGAGTGCCAGCCAAATAAATGGCTAAAATGGTAGCCAGAGGAAAATCTTAGCCAAATACAAAACCATGGACGCAAAATGGATCGCAATCAAAACGAAATGCAAAACTCAATGAAGCGATTAATGCAAAATTGAACACGGCGACACCAAAATTTAAATGAGGCTATGTTTTAATTATGACGCTTCGTGTGAACGCCATCACAACGAGTGAATGAACGCGAGTACTTCGGCAAGTTGCGATGTACATCAACATGTAACGAACCGTTTGTCTCGTGGTTCATTTTTGATTTTGTATTGAATTTATTCATTTGAGCGAAAACATGCAAAGCACTACGATTTTAATAAAATTGCATGATTCTTGGAATTGTCTACTAAAATGCTATGGACTGTAAATGAACATGGGTTTGTTTTTGTTCGATCTTTTTTTTTGTTCGATTTCAAAGCTTCTCTTTTGTCCTTGTTAACTGTACAAATAACGATAAGAACTGAAAATTTGTGTAAAAGTCATTTTGTCATCGTCAAGTCAATTATTAACTTAACAAACTGGACGCTTGCATTATTCAATTCGAACGAAACATCAAAGTAACAAACAGCATGAAAAAATAATTATGAATTGTCGCGTAGCGAAACCGACGAGAAGCATTTTCATGTAATTGCCGTTTGACATTTGCCACCAGTTTTCTCTATATTTTGATAGATAAATGCGTGCAGCCAAATGTAAAGAAATCATCAATCAATGTCAACTGGCCGTAAACTTCAAACGAAAATTTTCAAAAACCATGTGTCCTTTGTTCGCTCATTGCGAGCCAAGTCTCTGTTTCTTTTTGTCTCTCTGTCAAATTTGTCGCAATTGAAAATTATTCAAATGTGCACGAATTCACTTTTTATTGTCGAGCATTCGAATTATTATTTTCTTTTTCAATTAGGCTTCATCAGGATAATGCGACTCAACAAGCATTATGCTCAAGCAATAAAGATTAAAATGTTTTTCTTCCACGTTTCTTCGCTTCAATTTATTAATTATCTCAATTTTTATTCCATTTATTTTCAATGCACTTTGTGCGTACCCCATTGTGTTTCTTCGTTTTTTTTTTTCTTCATTCGAACGCATAGTTGAAAAAGAAAAGCCCGAAAACTGTCAAATTATTTTGACGGTCACATTTATTAAGGCCATTATGAGCGTATGACGGCATGTTTTATGTGGATGATGAAATTCAGCGATAGAAGCTTATATAATTTGTTTAAAATGCAACTTCATAAATTGTCTCGGTTAGAACAAAGTCACTATCTTTGCATTCGATCTTTTGGTTAATTAATAATAAATATTCGAAATAGAAGCCAAAAACCCGAAGTGAAATACAAATGTGTCGCATATTTTCTTTCTTTTATTTCGTTTTCGGCCATTCGGTGTAGCAAGTGATGGTGTCGACGCACACGGTCGAGGTGGTGCGAGTGAATATCACATTTACTATGGTAAATTCGACATCTACCACACCTGGCTACATTTTTCAAATACTTTTTTTTACCACGAGTAAGTATACACCATGCGGTTGTTTTTTCGGTATTTCTTCTTGTTTTGTTTTTTTATTTTCTTATTGTAATCGTGCGAACATTAATTTATCCCTAATGCGTGGCTCAAGACACTTGCCGATTCAAAATTTTCTGGTTTAATATATCGCAAGCAAAAATCAGCCCGAAAAAAAAAACAATAACATTATATGCCACCCAATATACTAAAAGCAAACTATTCATTATCTCTCCCCGTGACTCACGGGCATATATTATGACTTGTAGAAAATGGTCATCTTACCATTTACGCTAATAGATTCTTTAATGAACCTGCCACTGTCGTGTTCATTAAGACAGTCGAAATCACTTTTTGATATTTGATAGAGTTTTATAGCAATTAACGTTCTTGGGAATGAAATTACAAATAGTTACCCAGAGAGTGATTTCTTTATGGAAGTTCTGAAATCCAGGCCAAATCCCGAGAATCTATGGATCAGCCGAATTCCATCGGATTTGGACTTTGAACCATCAAATCGCTCGGGTTGTTGCTAGCTACGAAAGTCAACATTTTGATCATTTTCCAAGATTTCCTTCCTACCATTTATGCTAATAGCTGAGATAATAGATTCTTTAATGAACCTGCCATCGTCGTCATCAAAGTCGAAATCATTTTAACAAAGTAAATGCTTGTTTTCGTTATTGAAACAAATGCTCGAAATAATGTGCACATTCATTTTTTTTGCCCGTTTATTTCTCGTTCAATTCATTTTTCTCTTCCATTTATAATATTACAGAGAGAAGTTCACACGTTCTAGTTGGCAGGCATTTAATTTGACTGTTGTTGAACATTAGTAATGAGCTTAATTTTTTCTCCCTCTCTGCGTCTATCGGAGGAAGTGAATTTAGATAGTTAAATTCACATCGCTTTTTTAATCATTTTTTTGTAATGGTTTGAATAGATTTTCTTAAAATGCTATAAAATACATCGAGATAAGTGTATTTATGCTTGGTAATTTTATGATATGCCATATTTCAATTTCGTTGTCTTGAAATGACCGTAAATTACTACAATCACATTTGGAAATAAAATTGTTATGGACAGAAATAGAGACCAAAAAAAAACCACACAATTTATCAAAACCGCTCAAAACATTCGGAATTATTTTTTTATTGCTCTGGACTTTTGGTTGAGGTAACATGTAAATGAAAACCACACATGGGAATGGTTAACAGCTAATGAACAGCTTTTTGGTTCTATCTTTTCGGGGGATTCCATCAAAGATTTAACACTGGACAAAGCGGCCCATCAGTTGGAGGCCGCAAAAAGTTACTTCAAGTCACGCGGTAAAAATGTGTTTCAGCTCTGGACGCCATGTACATTTTCGATCACCATGAAGTCACCGTCACTTTGATTCCGAAATAAATGTGAAGGGGAGGGGAGGTTTTATAGAAGGGAGTAGAATATAATAACTCGGGCGCTCATACGAACGTATACCTCCCGATGCCCATGTATGACGAAAACTATTTGGCTTATGCAATATTTACATTTGAGTCAAACACCTAACATTTGATATTTATTAACGTATCAACGCATGTATGTTTCTTTCTCTTTCTCTCCTTTTAATTTTGGCGTTAATAATTTAAATTGAATGTGAAAGTAGATAAACTAATTGCATTAATATAGATCATTGTAATCTAATCTTAAATGGTGCGTTTTCTTCCAGTAGTTTAAATGTAGACATTGACGAGAACAACACTATCCACGCTGGCAAAAATAGCGGTTTTTCCATCTGTTTTCATGTGCGTTTTGCTCGACACAAGAACATGTGTGGTTTATATTGCGAAATTTACACAGCAGACCAGCAATACCAGCCGTAGCAGCCGTTCAGCAGACAGTCGTACCCAAAGCAACGGAATAAATGAACAAAAAAACCAACAAACGGACATTACATTTAATTAGTTATAGTTGCATTTCTTGCTCCTATTTTTCTAATGATTTATGTTCATTTCGTTTAATTATAGTTAAATGAGTCTCATCGTGCTCGCAAGCATGTTGTTTTATTAATTAACATTTTATAGCTTGTGCCAGAGTTGAAGAGTTCTTGAATCATCGTTTGTGGCGGATATTTGTGGATTTGGTGTTGGTAAATCCGTTTAAATGGTCATTTTGCGTTCCGTATCTAACGCGAAAATCAGGTGCGATGCAAAAACATTAACCATATCTCTACCATTTGAATCACCACACTGTTTCTTTTCTCTGTTGTACTTTACTCAACGACCTCATGATCATTTTTCTCACTTCTCAGACAGAGAGAGATGACGAAGAGAAGAAAAAAAAGCGCGCGGCAAAGACACATAAAACTAAATTGTACGCAATTTTCAATTAAAATATCTAGGCGTGGCAATAAATAATGATTTTATGATTCCGTTTTCGTTGAGTGCTGCATCAATTTTTAATACGATAATAATGTATAGCATGTAGCTAAGGACAAAGTTATAAAATATATATTTGCCGTGCAGTCAATGTTCATTGAAGGCAAGAGTAAAAAAAAATGTTTTATGAACATAAAAGTGAAAAATATCATTTGAAAATTTCTTGTTTGCGCTTTTTTTACACATTTCTCGCGATTTCTTCTACAACATAGTTGCAGCTTAAATTGCTACTATATAAAAAAAACACGCCTGGTCTTGAACGAGCACAAAATACTTCCTACAAATGGTGAGCATCATCGAGGTCGATAGATAGAATGAGATAGAAAGATGACTTGAAACGCCAACAAGTTTTATCAAAAGCAATTAAGCGCGTGTGTTCGCCTGTGAAAAAGTGTCGATTGATATTTAAGGCGAAATTGAAATGGCAAAAATAACCACACGAACGTCAACACCAGCGGTCGCGATATGAAAATTATTAATTAAAAAAAGGAACTAGCAACGCGACGACCGTGGGCACCGAACAGCGCGTAAACTCATAAAAGTGCCCGATTGACTTTTTTTGTGCGCTGCAAAAACTATCTTGGTTGGGCTGCTTTTTTTATCAGATTTCCATATCAATCCCTTTAATCTCTTATCTAAGAAACGATGCATTTTAATTGATTCGGATTCTTTCACTGCGATTAATATTATGATGGCAAAGGAGACGAAGAAGCAAAATAAATTGTCGGCAAATGCATAGAGATAAGTTAATAACACGCAGCGAAAATAGAAATATTATTATTTACAGAATAAATTAAAATTATTTACCAAAATGCTAATCTTTGCGACAGTCAACAAAGTTCTGTGTAAATGTTTGTTTTATATATATGATAATTACATATCGGCATACTTGGGTCAATATCTGGTTTTTCTTCTTTGGCAGGCTCGTCGATTGGGTTTATGATCGATCGGCAATTTTTGCCAGCGGCCACATACTTTAATGAACAAAACAAGTAGCTCCCAAACCAAACCAAGAGAGGAAAAAAATACAGACAGAGAGAGAAAAAAAACGAGAAACAAACAAAATACACGCTATTAAATACACGCGTATTCATTTTGAGCAGCAGTTGTGTGCTACAAAACTAAATAATGATAATAATAAATTGGCAAAGTGCTTTTATTTATTCGTTGCATTATGCACGCGGTTTCGAAGCAATAAGACCAGTTCCAAAGTTAATATTTATCGATATCATTTATTGTCGATGGATTCTCTTCTCTCTTTTTTTGGTTCGTTGTTTGATTTAATTAATTGTTATGGAACGAGAAGTCATTAGCTGTTGTTTTTCGAAATTGTTTTATTGGCGTAATTTTTCCTACATATTTATGACAAAATGGATTTTGTTTCCTTGGCCTGCTCCAGACAATCAACCATTCCGTTATATTTACGCCCACATCAATCGCTTAGCGATGTGTATCGTTTTGTGTGACAAGCCGATTTATCTGCTGCAATAAGATACGATGGCTTATTGTTTCATGACTTCGATGAAATTCAGTTCTATTTTTTTCTTGAAATTAACGAGGAATTGTTGATCGCAGCCGACGCGAGACGCCAATTTTAGTTTAACCGAACATGAAAATACATTTCAATTGAAAAATGCGATCGCATTTCGTACATTGTTTTACACCTTTGTCTAAATCATCGAGTGAAAGAGTGGTTGAAAAAAATAAAGAAATTGAAAAACATGCTTGAATTTATATATATATCGATTTCTATGCATTATTTATGGCAAACAGACAATCAGTTGTCGATTTTATAGATAAAACTCACTCATTTCAATGATACCAAGGTAGTTCGCTCGCTTCGCTCACATCCTTGCTTGCTTCGCAAGCTTATAATTATTTTATTTTACTTTATATTGTATTTTAAAGTTACTTTTTAGTTTGTTTTTAACAAACTAAGTATTTTTAGCACTGCATGAAATGCAACATGTAAATAATATACTGGCAGTATTTTAATAAAATTAAAAAAAAAAAAAACAAATATTACGCCTTCGCTAGTTTAAAAATCACAATAACACTTGATTGTAAAATATTCTTTATTTGCAAAATCAATAAACCATGTCATAATAAAATATAAGAAGTAAATGGTTTGCGGTCAGACAATATATTTAGCTGCCGTCATCTGGATATTTCGGCTCATCTGGATGCCGTCAGCAGATGATACGAATTGAAAACAATAGAAGTGATTGTTATGGTAATACCAGTATATAACAAGCTTATATACCTATAACAATCACTTCTATTGTTTTCACTTCGTATCATCTGCTGACGATATCCAGATGAGCTGTAATATCCAGATGACGGCAGCTAAATATAATGTCTGTTTGCGGTATATAATATAGTATAATTCTACAGTCGAACTCATAGAGAAGTTTCTTTTACGAATTTAGTTTTGTGTCAACTTTATGTTTGTGGCATGATCAACACGAATCAGTCGATGGGCAACATTAAAGAATGCTTCATATTCCACGGTGTCTGGTGTAGTATCATAATGATAATGACCGCCCCAGTTACTATTTGAAAATGTGTGGAAGTGTTGCACACGTAAATCGAAATCCATTTCATCGAATACGAATGTCCCAAGGCCGGTCAATGTGCCGGGCATCTCGAAAAATTTGAATCGACTCTCAACTAATTCGTCACGGTGCTTTCGGGCCTTTACAAAATCTCGCAACAAGTGTTGATATGCGTTGCCATTTTTCAACAGGAATACACCACCGACACCTAATTGAAATCAGAATTTTGATTTAATTTCTATTCAAAAAAAAATTAATTTGACTGACTTACCAACATTCTTATTGCCGAACGCATCACCAACCGAATTTCGACAAGCAGTGATGAAATCGCTTTTTCCTGTGCGTTTTTTGCATTTTACATGAAGTACCTGCCAATAATCAAAAAAGAAGAATTATTGAGTAAGAATAGCTTATGGTGATTATCCAATTCAATTAAAATATTGAAGCATATTCGGCTGATCGAACCTTTCCACGCAGACCCTCAGATACGAACAAATTAGCTAAAAATGCAAATTTGGACTGAACCTGTGGATACTTGACTGTGTCACATAATTCATCACCGGCTGTAAGGGCAGCAAAATGAGTCTCATTTACAAGGGATCCATCATCATTGGCTTTTAAATTGTAAATGACCTAAAATAATGTTTATACGCGAACCATTATCAGGTTGAGCAATTATTTTGCATACGATAAATGTAAATACCTCACAATGTGAACTATTTAAAGGATGTGGACCAGCACCAGCGCCACATACAAAAACACTTTTCGCGTTTGGAATCGCTCTTCTTCCAATGCTAGCCACGTCGTAGACCTGCGTACGATCAACCGTCTGTGGACTAGCAATATTAATAATTGTTGGTGATCCAAACAATCCACTTGCAGCCAAATGGAACGGTTCCGCTGTTAAGTCCGGACTTTCCAACTCTTTTACTGATACTTCTGCAAAATTCTTTTGTAGACCCGTTGAAAGCGCTATTCGTGAAAAAAATAGTTTCTTGAAAATGGCCAAACTCAAACAATTGAACGAAGATTTCAATATAAATAAAACAAAATCTTACCAGCAACCATTTCACTTAAACTTGGCACATACAGCGGTTTCTCTATCCATTGTAAATTTTCTAGATCGATTGCAGCCATCTCGTTCCAATAAATTACCCAAAAAGACTGGAATTCGCTCAAATTAGAGAACGATTAATATCAAAGTTGCGTTTTAAAGTAAATATGATGCAAAATGTGACTTTTTTTTAATGAGAGATAAGACATGATTATCAACCATTATCAACATGTAATGATAGCATTATCTACTCTCATAGACGAAATTTGACGTTCGATCTGTCAGTAGAAGTTTAGTAAAGTGACCATTACTGACAAATGTAAGGCTGAGAGTAAAATCGAGTCACATGCGTTGAAATGTTATACGAATTTGGTCCTTATGTTCTAGGCTATACGGTTCAATTTTGTATAGTATTACAGCTTGACTTATTTCATTTCAACTCTCAGATCGAACGTCAAATTACTTCTATGAGTTCAGTTGAAAATTAAATTCTTTCTCAGAAAAACAGAATTTCATTCCATATGAACAGTTGTTGATATTTTTTTTTGTTAAATAAAATTAACTACAACCGATTCAAGCCAGATAAGAATCTTTGGATATAAAAAATGCATCAGCTATTAATATATGTATATTTCAAAAGTTTAGACAGTTCAAATCGATTTTATGTGATTAAATCGACTAAAAACGAATTTAATTGAATATAATTAACGAAAATCAATTAACTTTAACTACAGACGAATAAAGTTGATGAAAATCGATATAAGTCAAATAAGAAAAGAACAGTACCAAACCAATAGCTCTACATTTCATGCAGTGCTAAAAATGAAACAACGAAAAACATTTCCGCAAAAGAGCCGATGCAAGAAGAGACAGTTTCAACCGATTTGAAACGTGTTCCAAGAACTCTCTCGTTGCCAATGTCTTGTACACTCTTTTTTTTCGCATGTCGATGCCATCGATCATTTTGCGTTGGTACGGCACCGTGATGTCTTTTATTTTTCATTTTCTCCATTGCACTGTCGTCGTTTCATTGCATATAGCATATGCAATTGTCAGAAATTGAATAGTTGAATTCATGGCTCGGCATGCTGGTACGCCTTTGGTAAATTGTCGATTAAAGTGATCAACAGAATGGGAAATGTACAAATGAACTAGATGACATCGATGCCAGAATGACTCCAACGTACAATACGCAACATGAATCAAATGTTTGAACAAAAAAAAAAACAACGAAAAAGAGAAAGAACTCATTTGGAAAATTATTTACGTTCCGCTGTAACAAAGGCTGATGATGTAGAATAAAAAGTGATCATGATGTAGAAAAATCAACAACTAATAAATCATAATTGTAGTTTTTTTCAATATAAAAACGCACAGTGAAGCTTGTCAAAGCAAATAAACAGCATTTTACATTGTCGTCGTCGTCGTCGTCATCATCATCATCGCCATTTGTTCGAAATTCAATTGAGCATTGTACAAATTTTTGATATGTATGTATGATTATGATTATAATGATAATGTGTGTGTGTACGTATATGTGCCGCACCTCCGATATATCTCGTGTCGATGTTTCAATGAAAACGAAAACCAAATAAAGTAAAATGTGAAAGAAAACGGAACGATGAATATATCGAACCGGTAAATTAACATAATCAAACGTTTGCTTTGTTCTCAATATATCAATCGGGTGGCATTTGTTTTGTCAGTAGAGAAAGAGAGTACTTTTCGGATTTTATGATGTGCAACAAATTCGAGCATAATTCCATTGTTCCGTGTTTTGTTGTGAATATACAGACAAAAAAAAGCGAACTGAACTCAAAAGACCGAATGAAAATGTGTATACAAATTATACGTAATAAATAAACTTTGTTTATTGAGAATGGGAAGGCGAACCGCTCACACACCGACCAAAAACACAAACAGAATAGAATATTATGTGCAATTGTCAGCGAACGCGCGAGTCTCGTATTTATAATACCTCAAGAAATCGAGATAATAATCGCGATAGAGAGTGAATGAGAGAGAGAGAGAGAGAGAAACGCAAACAAAGCGCATTTAATGTGATGAACACACAGCAAAACGACAACGAATAAATATATGCACTTACATTGTGAATTGATGATAAAGAGCTACAATATCACGTCACCAGAAGATACACCAAAAGAAACCCTTTGCTATAGCACCGATTTGAATGAACAAGAACATATAGTCATAGCATAATGGTTATAATCGACATCGTTTAGCATAATAAACGAAACAAAACATCCAGCGAGCAATGAGAACACGGCCACGGTATGTGTGCGCCATGGTGCCAGACAAAAATCAAAAACTCAAATCAGAATCAACAAATTAAAAGAGCCATTGTAAAGGAAAATAAATATGACTTTTTTTGATGACAGTGCTTCAAGCGTATAAATTTAATAACCTCTAACCCTTCATTTCCCTTCGAATCGAGACGAGACTCTAGGCTGTATCGCATTTTAGTCCGATTCAAGTCTGTTATGCTATGTGTGTTGGTGTTTGCTTGATTGAGATCACACACAGTTTACGTTTCATCGAAAAATGATGTTTTTTCTTTTCATTTTGCTGAATTATCAAAATTGTGCATGGCGCACAAATCTTGTGGTTTTTTCTTTAGCAACAATAAAAGTCGGAAAAAGGATAAAATCACAAGGCTGATGTGAACATTGAATCTTGTTTCGAATGAGCCAATGTTGAATAACTTTAAAAAGGAATTATCGACAAATGGTTCATATCCCGTCCCGAATTCATAAATAAAATAATGATTGGGTAGATCTAAAGGTGTGGTTAGCAAATGCGACATTATGCCGAATGAAATCAAATTGCCGACGACGACTTTTGTCCAGACACGGCATTATTATGAGTTAATTTTCAGCCGTTGTGAGAAATTTGCTGTGCAATTTTTATTGAGCCCAAACTTAAAATGCATACACATATCATGATTGCTCACTCAAAAGCAGTCAATTAAAGAATGAACTTCATACATTCAATGAACAGAGGTCGTATTTTGATTGTTTTACAGAAAAAACACGCATTTTGATTGTTTCAAAAGAATTCTTAACCAATTTTTTTAGGCTCACCAACACTACTTAATTAGTTTCATTCTCAATCACTCGGTGATGTGTGTGTGTGTGTGTTCCGCATCGAAAACGCAATTCGATTGGGACGAATGCGAATATTGCGTGGTGTAAGAGAATTGTATTGTTCAACACTTCTCGATAACATTTTTTTTCATTTGTTTTTGTTCGTGTTCGTGTGTTCATTACTTGTGCTCACTGTGCATTCACTCAGGATACTCCATGAGCCTTCATTGAAATATATGATTAAAAAGAGAATTGGAATAAAAAAAACAAAACCGGATCGGAACTAGATAGCTGAGTAGAACTTAATGAAAAAAAATATACTCGGAAGCAAAAAGAAATACCAATAAAACGGAAAGTGCGGAAATGCGTGCACTTCGAAATTGGAATTTCTTTGAGGCTTTTTCCCTCCCGACATATTTTTCTTATCACGCGCACACAAACATTCAATGTGTTGATTTACGAAGGTGAAATTTGGTGCGTTTGGTTTTCATCAACTTAATGCTGCACTCAAGCGGCCGTCTCTAATTTCGATGTGACGAGGAAACTAAATACAATGTGATAAAACTTGGTTTTGTTTAATGAAGAACTTCAAGGAATTGATACGTGCCCGTTGTGCTAATTTGCTTACATTTTTCGATGTATCACGTCTGTGACGCGTTAATGAACGGCATTTCGATCCAAAAACAAAACCCATCAATCGATTGGCTGAATTAGAATTAGTTCAGAGCTTGAAGTGATCTCCATCGCCCAAATGAAATTGGCTATGTTGATATAAATACAAAACAATTCAATATCCGACCGTTTTCTTATCAACGCAAAGCATCTGGTTCGATAAAATCAATCATTTCTCCCTATTCTTTTCAAATGAGAAAAAAAAACTGGATATTCATCACTTTTCACGAATATTCACCTTTTTCACGACAAGTTTACGTGATCTGTTTCCAATTTTGCTTTTGGGTTTGACGTAAATTAATAATAAATTTTTTCTTCATTCTTTTTTCCTTGTTCGTTCCTCATTTAATTAAATGTTAATTTTTCTCGATCCTGCCATCAAATTACTCAAACGTCGATTTTTATTGGCTATAAATAATGGTTTGCAACGTAAAATATTCTTTAAAAGAAACATATTTCGCAATAAAAAAAAGGCAACGATCCAAAATATTTGACTTAATTGTTGTTGTTTGAAATTCGATATCACGATATCCGCTTTATGCCAAAACAGTGTGTGACGCTTCAAAAGTTTGAACGATGGATGGCAGGTAGAAAATGCTTTACCATATCAACGTCAATCAGTCGAAAATCGTGAATGAAAACAACATCAAAAAATGAAGCAAAACTTTGAATATTGTCTGAAAATTAGATTACTGTAAAGCCAATCGCACATGTGTGCCTTATGCATACAAATTCTCCCCCTTAATCAATGGCATGAAAAAAGTGGCCACATTTATTCAATGTGCACGCACTTGTTTCACAGCAAATATGTGCGATATGTGTGCAGAAGTCAGATTGTTTGGCAGCAACACACACACACACACACACCGTTAGGTGGCATGAAACTGGAATTTCATTCACAAATCAATGTCAATTTCGACACAAAACAGATATTTAATGGAGTTAATCGCATTCAAGAGGCGACACAACGTGCAATATTCGCTTGAATACAATTTTAATAAAATTGCCAGCAAAATGTGAACTCACGATATAGTCTGGTTTCCGAAACAGTTGCACCATCCAAGAGCTGCATTAAAAATAGTCGCGGCACCAAATGAAGAAAAAGTCACGAGTACGCGAAAATTTACCACAGCGCTAGAGAGAGCCTTTGCAGAAGCCAAAACCAGATGAGAATCAGGCAAGAGAAAAACATTTATACGCGCAATAGATATATGCGTATGCGTCTCAAATGTGCACATTGCATTCATTTCGATTAGGATAATCTGTGGAAATGGCACAAGAGAAATGTAATGACATTGATCGCATTTCATCCAGAAACATGGCACTTGGTGTATAACCACGGCTTCACGAAATTGAACAGACACACATTATTCGCAACACCAAATGCATACACACTAAAAAAAGAGATAGTGAGAGAACGGCGGTACACTGATAGGAAAAAAAGGCCGGCGACAG